CAGTTGGTATCTGGGAGACTATACACACAGTTATTCAAACCCAAAACTGATATTGTAGTTATGGGTATGGACCAGCAATTTAAATCACCCACCAGTTTCTCATACTGGTTTGGAAAATCCTCTTGCATAACGTCATAAAAAAAAGTGGTCACTGGCTTGTGGCTGGGCTCTGAAGTCATTTATTTATTCTACAACTGCCCTGAAAAGTTAAGTAGAGTTGACCTCCCTGGAGGAATACTCCCTCAACTAAAACTAAGCCAATCAGCTCCATATACTAACCAATAACCTCCAACAACAGTCTAATTACAAACATGTGCAAACCAGAAAGTATGCTTTGTTCATTCCGATTCATTTTTGAATATGTTCAAACAAACATCTCTTCACTCTCTTTAGCTTCATATGCATTCAGCAATTCAAACTAAGTATTACAATCTGTAGGACATTTTAGGGCTTTGTGCACACATAAACAAACAATGAATACAATGTAATTTTACAGTAAAGCCAAAACTTTTTTGGGGGGGGTTTGGATAAGTATGGGATGGTTAAAACACCTGTCAGCTTTTTGTGTCCCATTGGAGAGACAACAAGGTGCAAGAGGTAATATCGCCAAATAATCCCCTCAGAGAGTTGTCACCCACTGAGTGTCCTCACTGGAAGGTTTCTGCTCTATTCCTGTTCCAGTGACAACTCAAACTTTTGGTTTCCCCCCTCTTTCTGTCCCAGTGACAATGGTCACTAGGACACATAGAGATGGTGAATCGTCCCAGTACGGACATATACAGCAATGTAAACTTTACAGTGATTCTAATCCTTCCCTACTCAATCCATTAGTTTAAAAAAAGGGTTTTCGCTTTAGATATACTTTAATTTTAAACATATAGTTTCTAAAGCAAGCAAAATACTTTCTTGTATTATACGGGGTCTAGATTCCAGAGATGGAGACATAATCCTGCCCGTGTACAAAGCATTAGTAAGACCTCATCTGGAATATGCAGTTCAGTTTTGGGCACCAAACTGGAGAAAGTGCAGCGAAGGGCGACTAAACCCATAAGAGGCATGGAGGAGCTCAGCTATGAGGAAAGATTAGCTGACCTGAATTTGTTCTCTCTGGAGAGGAGGCAATTAAGAGGGGACATAATCACCATGTATAAATACATAAATGGTCCATATAAAGAGCTTGGTGCCAAATTATTCACTTTAAGGTCACTGCAAAGGAACTCGATGGACTTGTGTCTTTTTTCAGCCTGACTAACTATGTCACTATATAGGTGTTGTTTTGTTGGACTGAGCAGCGTGTGTGTATATATACATGACTGGAACTGTAGGTGCTGGAGGGCCAGGTTGAAGCACTGCCAAGATGGTAGATTTTTGTGGGCTTCATCAAAGATGATAATTAGGGATGCACCGATATATATCGGGCGCCGAAAAACATATCGGCCAAAAATGGCACTTTTGGCATAATGCCGAAAGTGCCATTTTCTGGCCGATACAGCGGTGCATCCAGCCTATTCTCTCCTCCTCGCTGTGCGCTGCTCTGTGCCCCAGCGGGCAGGAGAGAAATTGTGACAGGCGGCCGAGCATTGCGAGAGGAGAGTGCGGTGAGCGGCCAGTGTCTCTCCTCCCACAGATCGGCAGAGCGGTGTGTGGGCGGAGACAGCCCACGCTGTCACAGCAGGCTGAGCTCCACTCGCTCAGCCTGCTGTGAGTCAGGTTGGAGAGCAGTACAAACACTCAGTGACCACTGAGTGTTTGTACATAATTGAGGACAGAGTATGTGTACTATATCCTCAATTATGAATGAATGGGAGTGATCTATATCACTGCCTGTTCATTCATGAATGTAAATATAGTAAACACACTGAGGGGAATGTATCAAAACTGGAGCAGACAAAATCTGGAACAGTTGTCCATGACAATCAATCAGCTTCTCTCGTCAGTTTGTTCAGTTAATATTTGAAAATGAAAGAGAGATGCTGATTGGTTGTCATGCACAGCTGCTCCCGTTTTTGTCTGCTCCAGTTTTGATAAATTCCCCCCACTATGTTCTCATGTTATAAATGAACTGGAACACTCAGTATAGAGGATTCCTGTTAATTTATAAGAGGGGCTGCAGAAAAAGAGATCGAGGACGCTGTGTCCTCAATCTCTTTTTCTATTTTTAAAGGGAAATATCAGGGGGCTGTTTAGACCCCCAATATTTCCCTGAGGCCCCTTAAAGTAAAGTAAAAAATTAAAATATATAATAAAAAATGAATAAAAATAAATATAAAAAATTAAAAAGTTTATAAAAAATAAAATATTTGAAAAATTCGAAAAAGTTAAAATAAAAAACATTTTTGGTTTCAGTTTCGGCCTGACATTTTTTTTTCATTTCGGTTTTGTTTCGGTTTTGAAATTTTCATTTCGGTGCTCCTCTAATGAAAATAATCAAGAACGGCCATGAAAACACACTCAATGTGGCCCCTAAGCAGTTAATAGGCAGCTGCAAAGAAACAGTATTAAAAAAACCAGAAAAGGACTGTAAACAAGCCTCTCTCAGTGTGAATGATAACACTATGATATTTTAAGAACTGCCAAATGCTTCTGCCAAAGAATCTGTTTTCTAGATAACTGTTCCTCGAGGAAGATATGCCAGGCAGAAAATCCTCTCCTGCATAAGTCTACGTGTTAGTGTGTGTTTTGTACACATTTTGTACAAGTTTTACATGAACAACATGTATGACTTTCAGACTCAGGAATATCTGAATAACACTAGATTCAGACACCGAGCACACAGATTTGTAGAAAATGTCCTTACATAGCTAAATTTACAGAAGTATGTCAGTGTCTCCTGATGTCATGGCAGATGGAAATCACTTTATCATCACAGACTCCAATCCAATTAGCTCAATGGCCTTGTGTCAGCTTCAGAGTAACTTATTTCTCGATCTATATATAGATTGGCTGTAGAAAACGAGCTTAAAGAAGAACTCCGGGCATAATTATTCTTAAATCTTGCAGTGGGGCTACCCCCATACTGCAAGGGTTAAGTGCTCGTCCCAGGGATTAAAATAGTAAAGATATACTCACCTGGACCTCGGAGCCGGCTGGCTGCTACTCCAGTCCCTGCCACCTATCTCCTCCTCTGCTCCAGTGATAGTATGTGCCTCAGGGTCCACACAGTGTATAGAACGTGATGACTCACAGGATCCTATACCAATGGAGCAGGGGGCGGGGCAAGGCGGCAGGGACTAGTCTAACAGCCAGCCAACTTCAGGGGAGTATAACTTTTTTTATGTTCCTCCCAAAATTAAAATGAGCACTTAACCCTTGTAGTGCAGGTTAGGAGTAATTATACCCGGAAATGAGCACTTAACCCTTGTAGTGCAGGTTAGGAGTAATTATACCCGGAAATGAGCACTTAACCCTTGTAGTGCAGGTTAGGAGTAATTATACCAGAAATCTGCAGACAGACTTGTATACCGCAATAAAGGAGCAGGTTTGCATGGCAACCAATCAGCTTCTCTGTCTCATTTTCAAATCTTACCTGAGCAAACCGAAGAGAGATGCTGATTGGTTGCCATGGGCAACTGTTCCAGATTCTGCCTGCTCCAGTTTTGATAAATTCCCCCCAATATATCTTCCTTGGAGGACATATTGTTGTATGTTACATAGTGATGTAGTTACAGTACATGGTTGAACTAAAAAAAACACTAAGAATGCCATAGGCTGAAATAACAGCAACAACACATTCAGTTTTATATATTTGTTTGAATAGATAAGAAAATATATTTGAGGAAAACAAAAGACAAGGATATAAGAAATCTCTTCAACTCCAGTCAATATTCTGGTCAACAAACTAATAGAAGGATTCATTCTTGCAAACGACGATTCACATACACAGCCTGGTAGTCATAAGATATATAACCAGTGCGAATTCCAGTCAGATTGTGATATTTAGGCAGTGTTAGGTGTCAAAACACGGGCAATATGGAACATGTACAAACATAGGAAGTACTCGTCACCCACAGAGATTTTTTGAAAAGGTTAGAACAGCTTCAAGACCAATTTATAATCCCATTACTAAGTGTGCGTCAAATGTTTAGTCAGGAAGAAGAGTCACGGCATGCCGCGATCATGAGGTTGACCTTTCCCTCGCCTCCCATTGTTCTAAACTCAGCATAAATATGTTGTTATTAAAGGAGAACTATGGGGTCAGTGATTTTCCCCATAGTTCTCCCCCGGGTCCCAGGAGGACACAAACTAGCGTTCTCCCGTGACCCAAAGCTCAGTATACCGCGAGCTACAGCTCACGGTATACTGAGACCGCTGCAGCCGGGACGGATCCCGACATTACTGTCTGGATCCACCCAGCTGCATGATTGACAGCTGGCTCTGCCTATCTAGAGGCAGAGCCAGCTGTACCCGCCCCCTCCCCCATCCGTTCCGCCAGTCAGCGCTGGAGGATCGGACAGGGGAGGGGGGGAATCCCTGCAGGGAGCCGTGAGTAACAGTCATGGCTCTCTGCAGGGGCAGAATCGAGAAGTGAGCGAGCGAAGGTATGTGTTCGCTCACTTCCCGATCTATTGAGCAGACGTGCGACAGTTTAATTGGCACACATCGGCTCGAACTATGAGGCTGAGTGATTTTCACTCACCTCATAGTCCTCCTTTAATGACTAATTCGGTATCCCTTTACAGTACAAAAACTGCATTCAAGTTTTACCAAACTTGGGAATATGATTTATAATGGCTGCATTGGTTCCATTATTGTGGCAAAATGGCCCAGATATCTCTTTCCCCCTATAGACAAACAGAGCCAAGTCACCACTTATCTGATCAGCAATTTGCATGAATAGATTTTCTTTATATAATATTTGACCTAAAACGTAACATTTTATGAAATAAGGAGTTTATGTTATTAAAAATAAAGTTACCTAGACTTGTTTTGTGAGATTTTCTAAATAGCTATAATTGACGTTGACATTAAACTGATCAGCTATGACTGCCAAGGACACTCACCCTATTGAGCTGTTCCAAGAGTCTTTGGTTTTGATCTGATAATTCCTGGACCACTGTGCATTTCTCCCGATCGGCCTCTCTCAAATGCACCTGCTGCTTCTCCAGCTCTTCCTGTAGCTGTTTTACATCAATCTCCAGCTCAGACACTCGCCCTTCCCATTCTCCCTCACGATTATCAAATCGTCTCTTCAATTCATGCTTCTCTTGCTCCAGATGCTATTAAAATAAATACATCAGAATTGAGTACATGGTTTCATGACATTAATAATAATACTTATTTACTAACCTATTTACGCAGATAAGGGCAAAACGACCCCAAAAAATTAGTACTGATGTCCATACAGCAATTTTTTTTAAAGCATACATGCACGTTTACATAATACAATGCATCTTTTTTTCTGTGGAAAGAAAATGAGGATAAATGTATGGTGAAATGAAGCTAACTATCCTCAACATCAAAGTTCAGCTGTGTAACCAGCACCGGGACAATACCAGGGAAATCACAGTGCTTGCTATGGGCAAAAACAAAGACATCTGCTTTTTGCTCTATTTCCATACACCAGCACCAATGACTTTTAAGTAACTGAACACATGGGTGTCGTGCTTTGTTTCCTCAGCATTTGTAGAACATGGAATAGCTATAGTTAGCTGCTTTGTTACACACCTTCATTACATCTACAAAGCCTCTACTTTAGATAAACTGGCCATGCACTGTTGGAATTTCAGCTGATTCATAGGAATTGACAGAAATTCTTACAGTGGGTGACCCGGCGAGTTTCCTCAAAAGTCAATTGCTCAACTGAATAAGCTGGGCTGAAAATTGTTGGCCTGCAGCCGATTGGATGCAGATACTGCTTGGGTATTCTGACAGTGGAGGGGGCTGGGTGTCAGAATACAATAACCTGGT